ATTTACATAAAAATACAAGTTGAAACGCGTTACTTCCTTGTGGAATGTGATGTTAGTGTCTATTTTATATTTGTCTGATGTATTTTTAAACCCAATTACCGCACATTTCCTCATTTTTAGCAAAAATTTTTGAGCTGCTCGCGGTGCAACTTGACCTTGAGCACTGACGGGCTGTCAGCCTCAGCTCTGTCAGCTCGCTCGTGGAAGCCCATAGGGCGTCCTACAATTTGCCTCACTTAGCGTGTGCGGGCTAGGTTTCTATGCGTTATTATTCTAAGGCGTAAACAATGTTGTTTAGTGCGATAAACACCTTCATATCTTAATGTACCTTTATGTTTTATCCTGTGTAAGTGAAACTGTGTACACAATTTTATTATGAGGCCCCCTCTATTTATGTTACGTAGCTATGTCTACATTTGGAGCCCCGCTTGTAAGAAAGAAACTTTACTTAAATATGTATCGAATACAACGCTTTAATTAAAGGCTCCGTGTAACCTATTTGGAAGTCAAAAATATACATTCTCATTTTGTACAAATTAACTTCCTAAAATCCAGCTATAATGGGAATGGGAAATATAATGGGAAAACGCGCAACATTAAAATATACTAAATATAATTATATGCTTCAGGCCCAAGCAAGTATGCTCTCAATTTTGTATGAAAAACGTATCTTTCTAGATACCCTACGGTCATGTAGAATATATAGCGCTAAATTTGAGTGCGATATTTTAGACTAGTCGTCTACGTGATCATAGGAATAATACTGTCTGGGTCTGAATCACTTAAAAACGTATTTTTCTAGGTACCGTCATGTAGAACATATAGCGCCACATTTGAATGCGATATTTTCATTATAATGTACACTAAGCGATCGTATGAATAATATTTTCTGGGTTTGAAACACTTTTACATACATTTCGGTGTATGTACACGGGGACTTAGGAGGATAATAATACTTTAATTTTTAGTTCGGGACTTAATCATGTATAAAACATATTTTAATTACCTGGAAGTTTCGGACATAATGCAACGTGAATGGTCTCGAAGGGACTGAAGAGGAGAACACTAAACCACGCACAACACTCACAACATCCGGCCATGTCATGATGATCATGTGTGTCGATATCGTGACAATCCTAGTGCACAAATAAATTATGAAGACCAAGTGCGGGTAGTTAGAAAAACTCGCCCGGCTAGAAGATGTTGACACCCGCCTCTTCAGTTCTTTCGAGACCATGGACGTTACGAAACGTCCGAAACGTCGAGGTAATTAAAATACGTATTATACATGATTAAACCCCGAACTAAAACTTAAACAATGTATGAAAATTGTGAAAGTTTAAATCAAAGATATTAATGCTTCTGCAATTTTCAGGAAATCACAAAAAACCTTGTTACAACTTTGCTTGCTTCAATTCTACCAAGCACAAGTTCGGTCGTGTATGGAGTTTGGAGTACTGCTGCCCCCTATGGGATGGCTCTATTAAATACGAACTGGCTACCTTAGATTCAGTTGAAAAGAGTGTGCCAAGAGGTTTTTAGGTGTTTCTGATTTAATAGAGGCGACGTTGCAAAGCCTTCAACACCGCCGTAAAATTGCTTGCTTATCGGTATTTTACAGAATTTATCACGGAGAGTGCGATGGAATTGCACGATTTAATTCCGCTTTCACCTTTCCATCATTGGGGGATTAGACTTAGGCTGGGTTTCCACCCCTATGTTGTGGATACCCCCAAAATTCACGCGAAGCGTTACGCTTCGAGTGGTATTCCTTGCCTGCAGATTTATTCCCTGAACGCTATACGCTATAACTTGGGCCTTTTCAAGGCGAGAGTGAATAGATATTTGTTCAGGACGAAAACGTGTTCGCGCCCATGTGATTTTTAATATTGTAAATTTATTATTGTGATTTATTATTATAATTTGGTGTTGTTAATTTAGTTTAAGGTTTGGTAAATAAACGAGAGGGAGAGAGGGGTTTTGCTTGGAGTCTGTAGGGTTCTCCCGTCCCGCTCCTGCATTGGTGCCGTCCCGCTCGCACACTTGAATAGAATGCGAGCGGCACGGCGGGCCAGCGATGATATAAAAAGCGGAGCGTTGGGAGCGGAACGACATTCCAAAATTGACTGCACAAGACTCCGAAGGCGTTCCAAATCTCACCGCGATCCAAGCAAAACCAAGACCAAGAAGCTCAATTTACAACCAGGCGTTTTTTTTCTCATAATCCGCCCCCACAATATTATTTAGGTGTGCATGCTCCATCGTCGCTTTCCATCAGGTGAAATGGAGATCAAATGCGCACCTATTTTATCATAAAAAATTGATGGAAGAAATAACTTTACTCCACTTAAGTTAGCAAATTTTTTTATTGCTTACTATTTTAGGATATATCTGCGTTTTTATCGAATAAATTTTTCATCGTCCTTCAAGATATTATTTTCTTTAACGAGTATTTGACTAAACATTTACAAAGCAATGTCACTTGCATATTTTTTGCAATAAATAATATTTTGATGTATGAAATGTATGTTGTGTTATAGTTTTATGGATGTCATATTTAAAGACAAAGTCACTGAATATTGTCGATAGAGTTACACGAATTTGAAGCAACGTATGTTAAAAAATGACGTTATTCGATTTATGTCATTGTTCCATGAGGAATGAGATTTATAGCATAATTTTTGAGGCCGATTCTCATATGTTACGATATTTCTTCAATTTGGAAATAAATAATGTTCAATATTCCAGAAAATGGTACTAAAGTACTCGTAGTTATGCGAGTGTAATAAAATATTATTCTCGGCATCAATAGAGTAAGTAACACGGAATGAAAAGTCTCTATTAATATTTCTATTTTTATTTAACCGACTTCGAAAAAGGTGGAGTTCTCAATTTGACTGTATGTTTTTTTGTATGTATGCTACACGATAACTTTTTGTTAAAATTTGTGAACCGATTTCTATGATTCTTTTTTTGTTGCACAGAGGGTACCTCAGATGTGGTCCCATTTAAATTTAAAGAAAATAGTCTACCCTAAGGATGACAAACTAAGGAATGAATGACTTTTGAGGTCGGTTTTTTTATTCAAAACGTAACGATAAAGAATATCTCTATCAAAAATATTATTTATAAAATAAAAATATGTACATAAAATATTCTTTGGAAACTTTAGTGTAGCGGTATCCTGATCAATACTGCCTTCGAACACTTGTCGCATACCTAAGGGTCAACGTATGTCTGTAGTGAGTTAGACGTCGGCTCTAAGAAACGTAGAAAAAATATGGCGGTAATGGTAATCGATTAAGTACAGTTCACATAAATGGAGCTTCTAAGTTTGAAGGTGCTTTTCCACCGGCTGCGCGAGACAAGACGAGGCGAGACGAGGATTGATTTCAATCCTCGTAATCGGATCCTCGGTGGAAATGTGTCTGGATTAACGAGCATGTGCGAGACGAGAATTGAAATATTTGGTGGTGTAATATTGAACCGTGTTACTCCCGTTATACTACCTGTATAACGGGAGTAACACGGTGTGTTTATTAAATATGTAACGGAAACATGATTCACGCGATGCCTTTCGCGAACCCGTGAGAACTCGCGCGAGCTCGCGATGGCTATTAACATCACTCGCGAGATTGTAGTGTACGTATTTTAGATTTAAAAAGAAGATCTTTTACCTGCACTCAATTTTTGAAATGTATCAACCAAATAATTTACTCTTCGTTTTTCATTATTTTTATTTTACTATCCACAAATTCAGCCCTAACTCGCGATGGCTATTAATATCAATCGCGATCTTGTAATAGCTATTTTTGTTGGAAATAGGCCGGCGAGATTTCTATTGTCGTCTCGCCTCATCTCATCTCGCGTCGCCGGTGGAAAAGCACTGTAAATGTAGTATCAAATAAATATTTACTGTACGTTTTAGGACGAGTAATATAGATCTACGCAAGATTGCAAGGAGTAAACGTGACTTCACTCTACAAATAGGTTATGGATGTTCTTGAACTTGAACATACACTTTGTGATTTTTATTTTGATCAGAAAGGGAAGAAATCTTTGTTTAAAAATATTATATATCAACACATTTGGAATATTCAGTTTCAGTTAGCCCTCTTAAGCAGTTATAACTGTAAAGTCATTTACTTTAGGATTCTCATTATTTTCTAGTTTTATTATGAGTGTTATAACGTTATGGTTGCATTGACTGCCTCCGTGGGCGACAAGTAAATACTGGGCTGCCACGCAGAGGTCCCGGGTTCCATTCCCGGGCCGGAAGAAATATCTGTATGGCCTACATTTATTTCTCTCGTGAGTTTGGGTGTAATTTGTGGCTATCAATGTATGTCTATGGCACCCACGATACAGGGTCTTCCTAGTGCAGGGCTATGAGAGTGTGCGTTATTTTGCGAAAGTAAAGAAATTTTAGGCGTGTTGGAATAATTCAATAATCTGTTATTGAAATTTAGACCGAAAGCCACTTTAAGAAAAACATTGTTTTATGTGTTAATGACAATTACAGTCTTAATATAAAACTGATCCAATGATTTCGTCTGGACGTCTTCAAGTAGGCACATATTATAGAATTATATTTCAATGTCGAGTAGGTCGCAAACCCCACACTTGTACAAAAATCGTCCTCAAATTCCATTTTTTGTTGATCATGACTTTGTACCTTTGGTGTAATAAAGCAGATCATACGCCAAAAGTGTTTTTATGACTCAAAATAATACGAACTACATGAAACAAATTATGTATATCAATCATGTGAAAGTTTCTAAAAGGAATATATAACTATAAAAAAGTTATTGCATAATTTCGTTCGTAGAAACTTTGAACTCAACTCCTCAAAAGATATAAGTTTGAGATGTGGCCTTATTTATTTATTAAATGTACATAACAGTTTAACTTATTAGTTAACTTATTACACCAAGGCTGCAACTTAAAGTCACGTGTCACTGGCTAAAAAGACGTGAATCATAAGAAATGCTAAACTGTACCTCAAGGGTGTAATGATGGCTCGGTGTCGATCCAAGGCTATGGCAGTTAGGGTGAACACGCTGACGTTCACGCTGAGGGCTTGCACGAACGGGCAGAATGCGCACATGAAGTGGGGTAGCAACCACCGTTGAAGTAGTGCTGCTTGAAACTGTGGACATCAAATATTTGTAAGGCTTCTTAATTTGACTTGGTAACACGGCAGAAAAAAAACGTTATGGAAGTACCTTAAGCCTCGATTATTAATAAAACCGCCGTCGCCAAAACTCATAAAATCATATTTTAAACACTACGAAATCATCATAATGATAGGCCATAGTTTCTAATTTAACTGGACTGTAATATAATTTAACCTTTACCCTGTTGGCATATCGTTGAAAGTTCAATACATATTAATGCATGTCACAACGTTTTGATTTTATGTCACATTTTCAATCAATGTGCTGCCATCTAGCGGTTAATAGCTAAACGACAACGAAATCGATTTGTTTACCTAGTTTTCCAAAAAAGGAGCGACCGTATTGCGGCGGTACCTTTCATTTTTTGTAACAAAAAAAATATTAAGGTAAATAGAAAACCAAAAGTTTATTAAAATTAAGTAATATAACATTTAACAATGATATAAAACCATGGGTAATATTACAAATAAGATTATCATTTTTGCACTCCAACGTAGCAAAACAAGGCATTTTGCACGATTTTCTAGATTTTGCGCCACATAATTGACACGATCATAACGTACAAAGCGAAAATGGCGGATTGGCGGATTGAGCTCAAGTATGTGGACCTCCGCATGCTGTTGGCACACGTACCACACTCACTAAGCACTTCTGCTGTATTTATGGTTCTGTGTTTTGCATAGTATAATGCGGTAGCTGCAGGAATTTCCGAAACTGAGCGAGAATTCCCGAAAGACGCGCGACCTGTTTCTGACTCGTATTTAGTCTGTACGTTACACAGTTAACATAAAGTTTATAATACTATGGTTACAAAAATGAAGAGCAATATATATTAAATATATATAATAGTAATATATAATGTGGATACTTCGTAGGCCCCAATACAATGAAATGTAGATTTATTAATCTTGCTATTGAGTGAATTATGTATAGCTCCTCTATACATACAAATAAGGCTAAGTTTTCTTAACTATTCTGCCAACAAATAAAAAATACGCTATACAAAAAATCGCGACGATTCATTAACTACATTCACATAAACTCTGTATTAGTTTTGGGCATATCTCTTTAATAGAAATTTGAATATTAATTATAACATTAATGTACACACGCCAGCACATCAAGCTGCACATTGACGTATGTTGTTCCGTTGCAACTGGAGGCGATTTTCGAACAAAAAGGTATAGTCTGATGTGCCGTTGTCCGTACAAGATTTTAGAGTCTCAAATTGCAGGATTCGCTGTACTTTGCGCACCAGATTGAGCACCAGATTCTGAACACCCAAACAAGAACAATTTTCACAGTGCTAACCGCTGCGCCATCGAGGTTGTCCAAAGAAAGTAACAATGACTCTTGTAGCATAAGTCAATCGTTGCCATGTCATAATATAAGTAATGTAGTATAAGTAACTGGCAAGCAGTTGAAAGACACACTCGTAAGGCAATGTTGATTCATTGTTGTCACGTCATATTTAATTTTACAACGTACTATAATTTTGTGCACTTCTTATAGTGTGACTAATAATATTTAAATTACTTGTATTATAGCAATATCTCAATAGGTAACTACGGGAATATTTTTACGCAGCGTGAACTTTCAATAAAATTTATAAAGGCACTGGTTCTGCCCATTTCATAATAATAATAAACAAATTAATAAAAATGGAAGTGAATTCATTTGCTACTTTGCGAACACACGTGGTTGGTTTCGCGGAGTAGCAAATTAATTGACTTCCATTTTTATTAACATGGACTTCCGCAAAGTAACGCCTGAATCTATTAATTAATAAACAAATTATAGAATGATAATCCATCACCGCGCAACGACCCCGCTCATTTTACGCTATGCATTCATTCTTTGACGCATCTTCGTTGTCACGTACTAGCCTTTTCCCATGGTGCAACTTTACACCATAGGTATAGGTAGGTATATAAAAGAATAGGTAGAATTACGACTGTTGGAAGCAGCTTTAATACTTGCATATTTATCATCAATATTACTAAATGCATTTATCATTAAAGAAAATTCGAAAACCTTTTTTATTTAAGATTAGAATTGAAACGTTTTAATTTTGGAAACTTGATACTTATTTTATACTATGCAAATTAAGCATGTATCTTAAATATTTGCCTTAACGTAATTTGCCAGCTTGCGTAAACCACCGGTGGCTGCAAAAGTTAGAAGCGACTTGTTTTATAACAAACATAGCTAGCTAATTTAGTGTGAGGAAAATCCAGTACGGAGCTCGAATAGGCCAGGAATTCCTTTGGGTGGTGCTTTAATGATTTATGAGGCCTGTACCCCACCTGTATAGGTACTATGGGCACAGGTGCTGGTGCCACGGGTGCTTGATGCGAAGATTCCCGGTTCGATTCTTGATTTGGGCCAATTTAGGAAAGGAATACTTCTAAGATGGTTCTGTCAAGGTATTGCTCTCAGAGTTATCGTTATTCTGGTATTCATAGAACAGGAAATTCACCAATTTCAGACCAGGAAATTGTTGTGATTGTCTGGTAAGGATGGGAGCTGGTGGCGATGAGTGAAACGGGCGAAGGCTGGTATAACACTGATTTATTGAGAATAATATGAGTATACATATAGTACGCATAGATCTACACTACACCTTCCATGGAGGGAAAAAAATAAAATAAACATGATTGTCTTATTTTATTTCTACTCTGCGATATTTTCCGCTATTTTAAACGTATAAACCTATAAGAATAATAAAATAGTTAAAATATAAACCTATTTTAATTTGCATATTTATCATAAGATTGAACATAGTAAAATATAGGAATTGGCTCATTATTACACAATGACTTACTTACGACTTACGAGTAACATTGGCTTACGAGTATATGGTTACAATTATTAAATTTACAATTATTAAAAATACTATAAAATTAGTTTCAATTAAATTAAAGTATTATATATTATATATGTTACATATTATATGGTTTGGTGCGGTTTTTATGCACACTATCTCCTCCTCCGTTTCTCATTATCTTTACATTACTACCTAAATCTTGCAAAATTAAAAATGGACCTAATTAAACACTATCTAATTAACCTCCAGTTCCGTTTTTTAGTAACAGATACTTACCTTTCGTATACTGAACTGGATTTATTTTACAGTCGTAGGCTAGTTTTCTCTTCACCTTACTCCCTATTAAGCTTCACCTTACTCCCTAGTATCGTTTTGTGCCACCTGGAGTCTGTATTTGAACTCGACAGGGTAGATGTCGTAGTTACACATATTTTTTTATCAGTTACACTATTACCCCACCTGTGAAATTAATTGGTAATATGCATGACTTACCAAATACCAGCTCATGTGGTGTGTATTTTGTTTCGCCGTGAACCGTATTATTGTCTCCAAGATTATGGTTGTTTTTAGCAATTAATGCGCAAATACGCGCCGATTCTCTTATGCGTATTTTCTAGAGCTCTCATCAACTCGTGGTGATACGTAGTCGATGTGAGTTGGCTGATTTTCAGCAGTTCGCGTACCTGCTTCATAGTACTTGAGATAAATTCTGTGCCACGATCTGTTGCTATTTCCCGCAGTATCCCGAATCGTAGTTTTCCAAAAATGTCCTAGCTACGGTGACTGCATCTCTTGACTTTTTTGGGTATGCTTGCACAAACTTAGACAGTTCATACTGTAAAGTAAGAATGTAAACATGACCGTTTGCGTCCTTAGGCAGTGGACCCACTATATCTAGGCGTACTTTTTCGCACGCATAATTTGGTGTCGTAGTCATTTCTAAAGGCTGTTTAATTTTTACACAATATTTCTGTTTATGATATTGATTGAGTTTCCCTCGGTTTGCGAGATCGTGAGGTCGACAAACAATTCCGTTATTTATTTACCAAAGTCGACAAGCGACGTTTCGTATTGTCTAGCCTGTTGCAATTTTGTTTGTAAGGCAGTTGCTGACTTTTGTGGCAATAGCTGCCTTTTCATGTCCCTAAGAAGTTCGTTTACTGACTGGTAAGCGGATGAAAGTCTCAATCTTGCGGACTGCCATAGTCTTGTTTTCAAGACAAATGTAATTAATTGTGTCTCACTATCCTTGTCTAAAACAGAGCTGTAATATTCTATGGCAGATATTAGCTCTTTAGTGTTTTGTTCCGTATCCGTCATTGCGGGTAAAAGATTTAAAGCGACCTTTAAATCTAATTTCGCCATTTTTATTTTTTTTTCTTCTTCACTACTTTCTTCAGTTATGTTTCCTTCACGAGTTTGTAACAAAGTCTGAATGTTATGGTATATAGCCTCAAAATCACTACTGTATCTTTGTATTAATTTTTTCTCATGCTCATCTTTGAACTGTAGCACTTTGCTAATCCTATCTATTAGGTATCATATTGCGTTCCTCAATTTTTTGAACATACTGCTGAACTCTATCTCCTTTCCAACTTCTGCACTTAGGTCCTATTTTAATCAAATATTGCCGAACCGCTACCAATTCGTTGCATAGTTTCTCTATATAATCTGCCATCCATATAAATCGCACTCAACCATATTTAATCAACTTATTACACTTATTTTCTTACTCTAATAATATACCTTTTTTACATATATCTAAATGAACAGTATCGTTATGCTAAAGTGTCATATTTGTCGTACCTTTCTGCCGTAATAAATACATAAAACTATATACATGCCGATTTCACGTGTTTACACTTCACTGTAGTCACCTTTCACAAGACATTATCGCATATCGTATTATCGCAACATCACATCACGGGGAAGTAGATAGTCTGCTTGTAGACCAATCCTTCTGTAGACGTAGTATGCCAGTCTCCACTCCACGGTCGACTCTCTTGTTGAAGCATTTAATGCAATTGCGCACGACAATGGTTGTACCGACAGGTACAAAAATTAGAATAAACGCCAGCATGCACCAAGAAATCATCCCGATGTGTGTTTCTACCTGGGTGCTGGTTATTGTGTTGTGGTAATCGA